TGTCGACTTTCCCTGTCCATTATTGTGAAACCCGTGAGACACAACAAAAACACAGCTCCGATCACAGCGTCCTCTATCCTCCTGTTGTTAATGTTGTTGTTCTTTGTTTCTGTTGTTGAACGCTGCGCACAAATGATGTCGCTGTCAACCGACTTACGTCACTTCTTAGTACACACTGTCGGTGCGAATGCAACCCTTTAAATGGTACTGGGAAATAGTTCGCACAAAATCGTCCCAGTACTTTAGTACTGTACATTTAGTTCTGGAACTAAAGCGGTGCGAAAGGCCCTATTGACTTCCATAATAGGAAAAAAAAGGAGAGAAGGAATTATTCAGCCCCCCCTTCTCTCCTTCGCTCTTTTTCTATCATGATTAATTACGGTGAGCTGAGCCTGACCAGCTCATTTATTGATTGGCTTTAATGTCTGATCCCAAGGGATCATAGCTAAACCGAGAGGAGGATCAGTTCTCCATCTTTTTTCTCTCTCGCTCTCATTTTATCAGTCATCTTTATTTTATTTCACTCCGTCTGTTTAGTTTGTGTATATGTTTGTACACGTGTACATGTTGTGAGATAAAAGCTTAATGTATTTCTTCTCTGTGTGATTATAGCTACTGATTTTAGATTCTGGAAAGTGTTTCTGGCAGCAGTGTTCAAATAAGAAATCACTCACTCTATATATAATGTATTTACTATTTGTAAATACATTTTTTATTTAAAGGGGTGGTTGATTGCGATTTCACTTGTTTAATGTTAGTTAGTATGTAATGTTGCTGTTTGATCATTAACAATATCTGCAAAGTTACGAAGCTGAAAGTTCAATGCAAACTGAGATATCGTCTTTTAACATTCTGGCAGTTTAGTGCCTACAAAAACAACTGGTAAGGGACTACAACGAGTTACTTCCCAGGTCCGTTACGTCGCTTAGACACGTGCTAGAGGCGCTTTAGCCAATCACAACACACTGGGCAAGCTAATCAATCAGAGCCCATCGTGTGTTTCTGAGGGAGGGGCTTCATAAAAGCAGGAAATGATCAGCGCGTTCAGAGGAGAAGGGACAGAGAGGTGTGGAATAAAGGTAAATGATGTGAAAAATAATGCGTTTTTTAACAAACAAAGCATTAACACATGTTAGACTGCACCCCATAAACACAATCAAGCCTATAAAAAAAACAGTCAACCACCCCTTTAAAATTGATATATTTGATCTTTTTTATATATTTAAATGTTTAAATGGTCATTTTCTGTCTTCTATAAGTTAGAGGGATCATTCAACCTAAATTTAAAATCTTACGTCGTTCCAAACCCGTAAGACCTTTGTTCATTTTCTGAACATAAATTAAGATATTTTTGATGAAATCCAAAAGCTTTCTGACCCTGCATAGACAGTAACGCAACTGATACATTCAAGGCCCAGAAACACAGTGTAGCATTTGGACCAATCAGACACACAACTTTTTGTTATAGGTAGTAAGCTACGAGAATACTTTTTGTGTGCGCAAAACAAAACAAAAAACTTTTGAAGAAATTGTTGAACAAAGTCGTTATTTTTGTTTTCTTTGTGCACAAAAAGTATTGTTGTAGCTTCATAACATTACAATTGAACCACTGATGTAAGGATCCACCCGCCAGCCCAAAAAGCGGAATCCAGCGGCCTGGTTGAAGGTTTAATGCGTATCCGGTCTTTTACTTGCGCTTCTGAATTTATCAGGACTTAGTTTCAATTTTGTCTTAACAATATCCTTACTACCTTTCTGGGCCTTGAATGTGTCAGTTGTGTTGATGAGGGGTCAGAGAGCTCTCGAATTTTCTTCCTTTTGCAAAAACATCTTAATCTTCCGAAGATGAACGAAGGTCTTACAGGTTTGGAACGACATGAGGGTGAGTAGTTAATGACATATTTTTTGGGTAAGTTGGAATAGTGGAAAAAAGTAAAAAAAAAAAGAATGCCAAAATCTTGGTTTCTGCCAAGAAATCATGACTTTAACTTATCCATCTAACCAAGTAAGTCATATTCAAAGAGCGACAGCCTGTTCTGATGACTTGAAACATCAGATGATGCTATTCGGGGACAAACTGAGAGCGAAATGTCTCTTTCTCTGTTTCTTTCTCTCTCTATTTCGCTAGATGACATCCACAGCTGTGCCCAGAGCAGCGTTTATACAGTGTGTGTGTTGGTGTGCTTGGATTATGTTTTCGGATCCTGAGGGCCCCGGAGAGAATGTGTGCCTCCACTTGCAGGGCGGTGCTCTCCCCAACCCTTGGGGTGTCATGGTCTACTCTGCAAGCACACAGCAGGTAATGATTGAACACATACAAACACACACTGGAATAATAGTAAAAATCACACGATGTGCCACTCCCATGCAGGCTGTTTTAGAGTCCTTATGCAATGCCTCTAATCAGAAGGTTGCAATTAAATTAATGGTGGCAGACTAATTATGTAATTATATGTTAAGAGCATAGTGCTAAAAGAAATCTGACTCTATTGTGGCATTAATGGCACTGATTAAGAAGGAAGACAAAATAAGGGCAGTTGGATTATATCACTCATATGTGTGGAAACTCATTTAAGTCTTACAATAGGTCAGCAATCTAAGACTTTTTTATTCTTTTTTTTTCACAAAACATTTCTTTAGTTGTTTATTTTGCATATTTATTGTAGAATAAACATTTGTTTTAGTATATAAAGTTTGGGGTCAGTCAGCTGATTGTTAATATTATTAACAAGTATTATTACAATTTAAAATATCTGTTTACTATTTTAATATATTTTAAAAGGTAAATAATTCCTTTACTGGCAAAGCTGTATTTTTAGTAGTCAAGAAACATTTTTAATTATTATTAATAGTGTTGGAAACAGTTACGCTGCTTAATATTTTTGTGGAATATGTGATACTTTTTTCAGAATTCTTTGATAGATAGAAATTTCAAAAACTGTATTTATTTAAAATAGAAATGTTATGTGATATGAATATGAGTGTTTCTTTTGATCAAGTCAATGTATCATTGCTGAATAAAATGACTCCAAACATTTGTAGAGTAGTGCACATATGCGTTTATTAGTTTATTGTAGATATTTTGAAGTCATTGGTATCTGCATGCCAAACTTCCTTTTGCAGTAATTCTTCAGCGTCACGCAGATTGTTTTGTGTCGGTTATGAGCTGCATGGGAAGCCAAACACTGTAAAGGTGTGACAAATTGTGCACTGTGGAAAATGCTGCGTGATTGAGCAGAAAGGTACAATTTGGTTGGCTTTTCTTGATGCGTTTTACTCTCAGAATAAAGCTGTTAATAGAGGAGCAACATTGTGAAAAATAAGGGGGAAAAAATCCAATAGATTTAGCTATTATGAAAAAGGATACCATGTTGCAATCATTGAATCAGACATCTGAAAGGGATAGTTCACCCAAAAATATATATTTTGTCATCATTTACTTACCCTCATGTCATTCCAAACCTGTATGAGTTTCTTTCTTATGTTGAACACAAAAGAAGGTATTTTGAAGAATGCTGCTAATCAAACAGTTGTTGGTCCCCTCTGACTTCCATAGTATTTCTTTCCCTACTATGGAAGTAAAACTGTTTGGTTCTTCAAAATTCTTCAAAATATCTTCTTTTGTGTTCAACATAAGAAAGAAACATATACAGGCTTGGAACGATATAAGGTTGAGTAAATAATGACAAAATGTGCATTGTAAGGTTTGCACATCCTTTTGGTTTTTATTCTCGATCTTAGATGGGGATTTTAAAACTTGTTATTGTACATTGCCTAGTAATTATGCTAATTTGAAAAAGGCACTTTATGTCAAAAAAGTTGCAGACAACTGAGACCCTACTAAACTAGGGTGTGTGTGGCTCATTTTGGCACTCGCGTCATTGGTCTAATCAGTCCTGAATGACATTATTACATGATGTTCTTCATTAGCTGACAATGACCCAGGCATCTTTTTACAAGGTCTCTCCTTGTTCTTGAACATTTCCTAGTCGAAGGCCAGTTTAACAGGAACAGCTCAACAAAGTGTCCAAGTTGTCCTCTTAACTGCTAGAACCATCATTACTCTTTCATTAGCCTGTTATCTGTCTCCTCTATTGTACTGATGTCATATTAAAGTCGATTAACATGATTAGGAAATTGTGGGCTGCAGTTCCTGTGGCTCTTTCACCATGGCAACTTTCCCAGGCCATTGTTAAACTAAATGCCTCATCAGTGGGGATGAATATGTTTAGATCGAATGTGTGAGGATTTCACACTCTGGAGGTCACAGCACCTGCTTGTTTGGGTTTGTGTGGACGTTGAGCTGAAAGGTTTCGTTTATGTCATATAGTAGCATAGGGGTTATTTGAAGGTCAAGTGTGTGATTTCTGTTCATCTGCTATTGGTCAGATAAACATACAGTCCTGTCCCCAAACACACTCCATTGGTTGAGCCAGTTTTGCAATGACAGGGAGCAATGTTGTGAAACCTTTTGGGAAAATCAATCTTCAGATGACTTATTTAGAATTGGTACAGAAGAAATTATTTAAATATCGAAAAATGACACACTTTGACTTTAATTAGGGATGAAAAAGAAATGGAAATGTTGAAAGTAGACAAAACTAGGTTGAGCATTTGAAAGAAATAACACAAAGTACTCAACATCTGGTTAACATTCATGAATACACTCCCTTGAAAGAAAGTTTTGCAATGTTCTCACAGACAAATTCAGGGAAATGTGTCATCAAGTTCAAGTTTTCATCTAGTGTGGAAGGAGCTTCTTGCAGCACGGCACTGAATGTGAGCCACCGGGAAACATGCTCCATCCTGAGACTTAATCAAAAGAGTCGACACAGAAATTAAACACCACTCTCAGTAGAAGGTCTGTCTTCAGTGCTGCTACATTTCCAGCCAATTGTCTTGCATTAGTCATTGAAATGCAGGCTTTTAAAGTGTTTTACAAGAATATGCTTAATCTTTTTACTGACTACTGTATAGGAAACTCAGAAGCAAAGACCAGGAGACTCTGCTGTATCTTCAGCAGGATTCTTTATTGAGTCATCAGAGTCTGACTAGGGATCTGTACATTGCGCTTAGAGACAAAGCACCTGGGAGACGAACTTTGCTTAACAGAATCATTAATCTGATGTCATCATCCTTACCTTAAATGCAAAATACAATGTACTTTCCTTTAGTTTATTCATTTGATGTTATGTGAGGACAGATCTTAAACAGATTCTTACATTTGTAATTCCAGTGTGTGCAGTGTAAATAGGCATCTAAAATTCTGGGTTCCCTTTCAGTCGGTCACTCTCGACGTCACGTCGGAGGACCGACGAAATTGGGATCTCGCTTAGAGGGACCAATCTACTTCGAGTGTAAACTAAACGAGCCAATGCAAATTGGCATGCGATTATTGCATCCAGCTGCTGCTGATCACAGCGTGAGTATAAGTAGGCAGCAGGTGCAGCGCATATTCAGCTTTTCGCTTCGGAGCCGAGCGATCATCCCAGGCCGGCCTGTCGGCGACACGGTGGAGAACGTGCCCAGCGGTTCTCCGCTGACCAGAGCAGACTGAGGCCATCAGGTACATCCTGCCGGTGTGCAGTTGCTACCGTCGCCGAGGGCGGCCCCCCTGCCACCGCCAAACAAGAGCAGAGCTCGGCGGCCACCAGCAAAGCTGTGCCGTGGAGCCGTCGCAGGGCAGCCGCCCCGCCCGTCCAGGCCCCCGCCAAACCTGGTGGCAAGCGAGAGAGCAAGAGGCCCGGAGATATGCGCTGCACCTGCTGCCTACTTATACTCACGCTGTGATCAGCAGCAGCTGGATGCAGTAATCGCATGCCAATTTGCATTGGCTCGTTTAGTTTACACTCGAAGCGAGATCCCAATTTCGTCGGTCCTCCGACGTGACGTCTCCGTTCCCTCCTTCAGGGAACGAGGGTTACATACGTAACCGAGACGTTACTCAGTTTGAAAGTCCTTTGGAATACCGTACATGTGCATCTCATGATGTACAGAACAGTTTGTTTGCTGTCTTTATTAAGATAGGAGGTTAACAATAGGAAGATCTCCCAAAGGTTTGTTTGATTCTTCTTCTTTAAAACTCTCCTCCCATAAATTTTGCGTCTGAAAGGGAAACTCCTACAAATGCATATTCAATAAGGTCAGAAGCAAAAATAACTGTCCATGCCTTTTCAGCGCTAATTCTACACTGCGCATCTTTAGTAAATCCTGACAGTACTATTTTAATACCAAAAGATGGTTTGCATTGGCCCAAACTGTTAGCATTAATAGACTTAGGCCTATTTTAAATATATACAGTTAGGTCCATATATATATTTGGACATTGACACAATTGTCATAATTTCGGCTCTGTATGCCACCAGAACATAATTAAAAATAAACAATCAAAATAAAATTGAAGTGCAGACTTTAAGCTTTAATTCCAGGGGTTGAACAAAAATATAACATAAAATGCTTAGGAATTACAACCATTTTTATACACAGTCCCCCCATTTTCAGGGGCTCAAATGTAATTGTCCAAATAAATATAATCATAAATAAAATGTTCATTTTTAATATTTTGTTGAGAATCCTTTGCAGGCAATGACTGCCTTAAGTCTAGAAATTATGGACATCCCCAGAGATTGGGTTTCCTAATTTGTGATGCTTTGCCAGGCCTTTACGGCAGCTGACTTCAGTTGTTGTTTGTTTGTGGGTCTTTCTGCCTTTAGTTTTGTCTTGAGCAAGTGAAATGCGTGCTAAATCGGGTTGAGATCAGGAGATTGACTTGGCCATTGCAGAATATTCCACTTTTTTACCTTCAAAAACTCCTGGGTTGCTTTTACTGTATGTTTTGGGACATCGTCCATTTGTACTATGAAGCACTGTCCAATCAACTTTGCTCCATTTGACTGAATCTAGGCAGAGAGCATATCCTTATACACTTCAGAATTCTTCCGGCTACTTCTGTCCCCTGTCACGTCATCACTAAACACCAGTAACCCAGTGCCACTGGAAGCCATGCATGCTCATGCCATCACACTGCTCCACCATGTTTCACAGATTATGTTTTATGCTTTGGATCACAAGCTGTTCCAAGCCGTCTCCATACTTTTTTCTTCCTATCATTCTGGTACAGGTTAATCTTAAAAGAAGTGGTCTGGCTCTTTAGTTGTTTTTTGACAAAGTCTAATCTGGCCTTGTTTGCACCTTGTGGTGAACCCTCTATATTTGCACTCGTGAAGTCTTCTCTTGATTCTAGACTTTCACAGTGACACACCTACTTCCTGGAGAGTGTTCTTCTCTTGGCAGGATGTT